ATATATATATATATTTGTGTTGACCTAATTTCCTAAATTACTCAACAGTCTGACAAAAATAGATCATATCATAGATAAGACAAAGGTGTGGGACTGTGGGTTAAACTTGTTAGACAGATCTGCAGAGCACAGTGTGCGTGATATGATTGCTACCTTTTGAAACAGTTTGTTGTTCCTCTCACAGCCGCGGCTATGTGGATAAAATGGAAGAGGCCCGGCTCGCGCGGGAGGAGAGGTGAGTGTGTGTGTACACTAAATCAAAACAGCACAGAGCCGCTGAATCATTTGGGATTATGTTTGAGCCGCTGGTTTGGGAAGCTCGGTAATAGCGTAATTGTTCGCAGGTTAAAAGGTGCCCATTGCCTGCCAGAGGCTGGACGGGTGGGGGGAGTACTGAGCTGATTTTCTTTGCTCCGTCCGCCTGTCGTTTCTTTAAGAAGCTGTATTTTAACTGCGGCACTCTGCCAAGGGCCTGATTGTTTTGGCTGTGTGCTGTGAGAAAATCAGGTTCCTGGATTTGTCAAGCCTCTCACAATGAATGGACGTGCACGGCCACAAACACACACACACAGACACAAGAAGAATTTTCATGAGGCTAATAAATCTGTGTTTGTGTGCAGATGGGAATCACAGGAAGAAAGAGATTTACTCAGAAGGGTTAAGGAGGTCACGATCATATATATCAATAAGGGCTGATGACAACTGGGTAAATGCCATATCCTCTACGCTAGTCATCATTGACATTTGCACCTTCTTATTGTTCTTCTTCATCTTCTCCACTCTCTGAGAGTGTGTGCTGAGCACTATTGCTTTTCTTTTTACCCCAGGCTTGTTTCACCCTCCATTTAAAGCTCAGTTAATGCAATAGCACACAGAGTCAATAAGACAGAGCAAAAAAAAAAAAAGGTAAAGGTTGGATTCAACTATGAACAGAAGAAATAAGCCAGAGCTGCAGATGAGCTGCTGAGTGAACATGTGGGAGATTTATCCACGACTTCACTCTGATTTATTTACGGTGTATTTCGGTGTCATGGTTATCAGAAAAAATATGACCCTTTTTTTAAAATACCCCAGCTTAGCGTTTAGCTGGCAAACAGCACTGGAACACCTGGTCACAAAGGACGTGCATAAAATCCAATGGCTTTAATAACAGACAACAGAGCAACAACAACATACCTCAGCTCATCTAAAAGAGTCAGTTTACATCAAATTGATGCAATTAAAATGAGCGAATAGAGCGAAATGGTTAAAATAATTATACTATTACACCTGCTTCTCGACAAACAAATAAGCCTGTATTTAACTATGTTTATTTCATAAAAACACCATAAAAATAAAAACATCCTTTTGAATTTTTTTCCTTTTTTTTCATTCTTTTTTCTTTTGCTAGCATTTCCTTAATGTACAGGGTGGGCCATTTATATGGATACACCGTAGTAAAATGGGAATGGTTGGTGATATTAAAGTCCTGTTTGTGGCACATTAGTATATGTGAGGGGGCAAACTCCTGAAGATGGGTGGTGACCATGGTGGCCATTTAGAAGTCGGCCATCTTGGATACAACTTTTGTTTTTTCAGTAGGAAGAGGGTCATGTGACACATCAAACTTATTGGTAATGTCGCAAGAAAAACAATGGTGTGCTATAAATGGCCCACCCTGTATACTGATTAGAGGGTTTAAGGATGGGTGGGTGTGTGAGTTGCTCGAGGGAGAGCACCCAGTGACCGAGGCCTGGTGCAGCCTGAAAGACCAACATGAGCCCACCTTCCTGTGGGGACAACCACATGCAGGAAGGGCTGCAGGGGTCCGGTGCATTGTGGATTGTGTGGAGGTCAGAAGTGGAGGCTCTGGTGGCCCGATTCCCTGTTGCCAAAACTGGCTGTAGAAACATTATGTCTCTATTTTTCTAAAACATGATGAAAACTGGCAGAATAAAAAAAAAATGCAACATAAACAGACACCTGAAAAGCACAACTTAGTCGAGTAGATCATCTTTAAATAAATTTCTTGCACATATTATATTTGGACTGTTTTGTTTTTTTTAATTGAAATAAAAATATTGGCAACATTTTATCATCAAAACAAAGAAAAAATTAGTTTGGTATGCTAAAATACAAAAGTTAAACATTAGCATTAAGCATTATGATTAGCTATAGCACTGATAACAAAAAACTTTGTTAAAGAGCACTTTAAGCTCTTGTGTGTACGTTTTTTAGAGAATATATTTTTTAACAGAAACCGTTTAAATAATACAGGTGATAGTCATAGATGACTGCAGACAAGTCAGGTAACATAGGGAACAAGAACAATGCGTGCGTGAGTTATTATAGAGTTAGGCTAAGTGCTTTTCTATACAAGCTCAGGCTTCAAGGGCGCTCTAAATGCTCACATTCTGGTTTTTGTCTTTATATTGTCTTTATATTGGGGAGCACAGATCTCCCTAATATGGTCATGTCAGGTGCACATCTCTGGGTGTGAGTAAAAGCCCCACCCACCTGCTGTTAAGTCTTTGAGCTGTGAAGGGCAGCCAATCAGTAGAAAAGAATGGTTAAAAAAAGCTACAACAGCTTTTTCCAGACAGACGATGTACTGTGGGGCTTCAACATGGCCCAGCATAACATAAGGATTATTTTAAACTAATAGCCGTGTAAATCCGCTCCAGTAAAGGCCCAGAGTTGGAAATGAGCAGGTCCCCCTTTAAAGATGGATACAGTTTATTTAAAAGTGATTTGTTGACATAAACAGCTGGAGCTTTTATGAGTTTGCCTGTTGGTTCGGGCACCTCGTGTACATTCAGCTCACTCACTCCAGCGTGCACATGCACACCAACACATGCTAGTATCTTGTTTCTTCAGACTTCTGAAGTGGACTGATGCTAATGAACCCTGAACAGAAGCTCCACACATTCGTGGTTCGGTGGGAAAGAGGAGGAGTTATAAAGAGAGAGAGAGAGAGAAGGTTGAATCAATGCCCATAAATCTCCATTCTGGGTTGCTGGTTGAATGGCAACATTTGGTAGGAGGAGAAAGGGAGGAAGAGGAGAGAGAGAGGGAGTGGAAATGGACCTGAGAGCAGAGCTGATGGAGGCACATGTTGAACAGGTTTACTCTGATTCACTTCTGATGTTTAGCCTTTAGAGCAGCCAAACTAACATTAACTTCTCCGCATCTCTCTCATTCTTCTCTCCTGTCCTTTTCCTTGCACCCCCCCCCCCCCCCTCCTCTTCTTTAACCTCCCTGTTGCTGCATGTTTCAACTGCTGCTGAAAGCTGATCATTTGCATAGAGAGGACAAGAGGCTAGTGGGGAGCACAGTGTGCGTGATATGATTGCTACCTTTTGAAACAGTTTGTTGTTCCTCTCACAGCCGCGGCTATGTGGATAAAATGGAAGAGGCCCGGC